TATATATATATATATATATATATATATATATATATATATATATATATATATAGTCATGAATATAAACATGGACGTACACATAGCTATGAAACCAGTCACAGTTAAGATTAAAGCATGGATTTTGACTTCAGTTTTGATTCAGAATACTTGATGGTCGTCGCTTTCTCCTTAAATGCTGTCCAAGTATAACTCAGTAGATGATCTCTGGAAGAACTAACTTCTAGAAATATTGGTAAGAATTCAATATACTCATTAAATCACTAAAGACATGGCAGAGAAATAAAAATTCCAATTCAGTGCACTATATGGGACAAAGTGAATGAGGGGTGGACAAGACAGGTTGGGGCAGTTGCTGCTGTTGCTGCTGCTACATGAGTGTGTTGATGTAATGCTCAAACTGGAAAACCGCGGGACAACCCAATTTTATCGATCTTTCTCTTTTTCTCCTCGAGGTGCCGCAGCACATCACCCAGCAGTAGCATCAACAGCATCAACACTACGTGCACATACACCCTTATTCCTTTCCTCCCTCCTCCAGATATACAAGCATACTCTTCATGAGTCACCATCCTTCTCTTAGGTGACAGAAATAGTAAACAGAGTGATGCAATACTCATCCAGAGAAAGGAGAGAGAGCTTGCCAATGAGAGAAGTTGCGGAGTAACACAGATCGGCCTACGAAGAGAGGGAGATAACTATTAAGCTGAGATGTCTGCAAAAGAAGTGAGAAAGGATACATGTAAATCTGTAATTAGGTTGACATAATGTGTCAAGTTATGGATAGTGAAGTAGAACAGTTCGAAAGAACTAGTAAAAACACCGCTTCTTAAATTGTTTGTTCCAATCGTGAAGTCGGAGTCTGAATCCTATCTTGCTGTCTTGATTGCTGGAAGATGAGAATAATCAGTGGGAAGTTTGAGTATCAGGTCTATATGAACTCACTTTCTATGAAACTATCGTGATGCTAGTCTTTAACAAAGTGGAAAACATGCATAGTTCCTTCTCGATCTCCGACCATAAACTTTTTCCCCCACTCTTTTATCCTTTGTGTCGAATTGAAAAAGACTATTACAAGCTAAAAATAACAATATTGATGACTACATCACCTGCTAATTTACACTATTCGAGAAATGACTTGACGTAATTTGGACCAAACGCTGTCAAAACTACAGCTGTTGCGGTTTTTTCTTTCGAGTCATAAGGTTAAGTTTTTTGAACTGTTCTGAATAATTCAAAGCGCTAAGGCACTGTGCATAAAATAAAGCAATACTGATTGCTTTATTTTATGGATTATGCCTTAACGTTTGAATAATCCAGAACAGACTAAAAAAAAGTTTTTTTCAGGAATGTTGCTGCACTTCCAGAAAATGCGCTAAATTCAAAAAAGCACTGAATGGAAAAGTGGTGAATCAAGCGTTCCATTTTTTAAAACGATAAACAATCGATCGAATGCTTTTTTGCTATACTGAAACATTTTTTATAGGGGCAGCGCAACACAATTACTCGAGCTCTTCCGTTTACCAGTTATCAAACCTCAATTAATTATAGACTATTATTTAGAGATTTGAAAGGACATAGGGCCTTCGAGTTACCAACCTTCAGCTTTGTTTAATTTATTACTGCAAAGTTTTGAGAACATCTTTTCTGATCTTTTCAAGATCAGTATCTAATGACGTGTTTATTACTTTTATACGGGTAGAAGTAGCAGTATCGAAGATACACTAGCAAAAAGATCGATTCCATTCTCCATCATTCTTCCTGGATACCCTAGCTTTAGTGGCATTTCAATAAATAGCACTGACTTCAAAAACATCATATAGAATATAACATGCAGCGAATCCAAGATCGGTATCAACATCATTCAGTGGTATGCCAGACGCAATAGACTACTATATCATCACATCCCCATTCACTCAACCCTTTTATACTAATGAGACCAAGTACAATGCCCCATGTAGATGGCCTTGGCAGTAACCTCAGTTCTATGTAACGTGAATGGTGATGAAAGCTTTGGATAATGTTGAATCTCAAACTGTTAATGAATACTGAACATAATAAGAAATGACGAAAGGGTGACTAATGAATGTTATCAAACAGCACCACGTTTGTTATTGATTAACGTAGGTTCTGAGAATTGTAAGCCTTGTTTTACTCAAATATAATGTGGTACTTTAAGTAACGTTCACAACCTATTTCCCATCTTTTATGTCCAATATAATAAAGTTTCGAAGATGACATTAACGACAACTTACATCTCGCATCCAAATCCTTGAAATCAAATCGGACACCTTGTGCACTGTTTTTCAGTATAGAACTTAGATGTTCACCACTGGCCACTGGAAAATTCGTCCATATTATTCCTGTTCAACGAAAGGCTCAAAAATGTTTACACTTTTTAATAGTAAGTTACGTGAATTTAAGTTACAAGTTCTTAGAAAAGAAACACTAGGGAAAAGAAACTCTTCCTCAGCGTTTTTGGGAAAGATTTGCGTTGACAGTCGTAATATTCTCTCATCTAATCTGTTCGACCTAGCACTTTTTAATATATCATTTCGAAATAACTATTGCTAATCATAATCCGTCAGACACTAAAAATCAAACTTTTCCATAAGTCTGTTAACCATGTTAGATCTCGCTCACACTCTTTAATCATAACATACCTCACCTAGCAATCGTTGCTCTGCAAAATGCTGTATTCATCAGAGTAAATATGGAATAATCGTAGTCAGAAAAATTCCTAATATCTAGCTAGAAAAATTTTCAGTATCTTATTGGGACGGGAAATAGGACATTTTACATCAAAGACATTTTACACATAAGGCATTTCACATTTTATATATAGGCAATAGGGAATTTTACATTAAAGCCATTTTACACGTAATTAAAGTGTTAAATGAAGCCTCTTTCATTTATCAGATCGTAATGAAACCGCTGATGGATCAGTTAGGTGCACCTGAACCTATTCTCTGTCCATTAATTTGAGTTCATGTTAAGAATAATTGGAAATTATTCAATTCCTCATCAGTGATGAAATAAAATACAGCTAAAGTCAGTAAATTACGATGAGACTCCATCCTTTTTCCTCTTTTGCATCATCGTTCTCATCAATATTTGTAAAAATTTGGTCAAAGTGGATATCGATGGTATGAACAAAGCCGAAAAAAATACATGAAGGTGGAAATTTTAGAAATAGAAAAGTATTGCAGAGTGATCTTCAACCACACAAGTTGTGCGCCTATAAGGTTATCATATAGGATGGATGAGAATAAGCCTAAAAAAATAAAAATAAATAGAAAGGTGGGGAAACTTACATGATCTACCTGTTGTTTGTCCCAGATCGATCGTTGTCGGTTTCACGTCCTCATCATCGAGCTCTTTTGGTGGTGTCGGTGGGCGGGGAGACACTTCGAAACCGCTATAAGTGAATGGTCATGTGAAGATATCGCAGAAGTTACTTTTTTGCCTTCTATTACCACGATTACTTCTCTTATCCTCTTCAGCAAATCTCACCCGGTTATCCATGTTTGGTCAAACCAACTACAGTGGAGCTACTTACCTTTGTTTTGGCGAGTCAAAGCCACGGTCGAGCTGTATTATATCTTCGGAGGCCTGCAATCAATATTTACATGATATGTTTAAACAGACATGAAGAATATGTAGTAGAATTCAATAGTTTGAAAAGTTGAGAATTCAAAAATGAAATGCTCAATTTACAGCGGAACATATTTGGCAATGGAAGAATGATGTGAAATGGAATATACTTGGACAATAATCTTAATATCACATCTACTAAGAGTTTTTATCAGTCGGCTCCTTTGCTTTACTACTTATGCCAATATCATTTGTTTTTTGAGATCGCCTGAAGTCAAGCAGTTGTTGAATCCAAAAAAGAAAGCCAACCTGGTGTGGTATAGTCAACGGTCCTTTTCTGTCAAACATACTTTCTTCTGCACTGCTATCATCTAAAATATGAAAAACATCAGTAGTAGAGCATTTAGATTACCCAAAGCCCTAAAAATGATAAGAAAAACAAATGATTATTCTATCATGAGATGCAAAAATGTAGGAATTGGATTGTACGCATGACTAAGACATACCATGTTGTGGAGCACTTGCAGTGAACATTTTCGTAATCATGTCTACATGGTCATGTACATCAGCAATTTCATCATTTATTGCATTCCCTATATAAATTTAACTACTGTTGAAGCAAGTAGCTGTAAAATATGCTATGTTAAAATATATCTGAAAATATTCTGTAGCAGTCATACAACGCAAACAATTGATTACCTACTCGCCGTTAATTAAAATAATAGATAACACGCAAACTTGGGCCAATATAATGATTTTTAACTTTGAAATGAGTACAAAGAAATTAAAATGAGGTTAATTCAAAAACTTCTCAGCATAAAGAAAAATGAAATGAGAATGGCTCATCCACTGATGTTCTAATCGCATAGTAGCCGTTCATTTAAATCAAACAAAAGACTGGAGAACGATAGGAAACATTAGACAAATATCGTTTCGTGACTGCTCTTTCAGAAATTCTAACGTTTATCCAATATTCATTGCATTCATGAGATGGTCGGGTGATACTGGGACAAGATTTGAGTAGCTGGCGTACATGACAAAATGGAAAAGAGCTACTTGTATAGGTGTAGAGTGGAACAGCGATAACATAAATGACGGGAAGTAAAATACTGACTCATTCATTTTGCTTTAAAGATCAATCATTGTACAGTACAATACACATGCGAAGAAACATGCAAATACAGTGTAATCTTTTTTAGTTTCCTATTGTAATTCATCTTTCCTTTTTAAGTTCCATTCCGTTCCTTTAAATATCCGCTTAAGTTCTATATCTCTCTGAGTTCTATATCTTGAATTCTATCTCTGTGCGGTTCATTGTTTACATAATCCAATGAACTTTTCTTTGTAAAAACGCTATATGAGAATAATAAACTTGAAACGAGATGCAAAAGGATGCTTATGAAAATGAAGTGTTCAGCAAGAAAAATAAAAAACCCAAATTTGAGCATTACTCACCCGCAGACTGAACAGCTTTCACACTAGCTTCAACTTCAAGATCGGGATGACTTGCATTGATGTCTGCCGCCTCGCTAGCATACTGTCTCCAATCCAAGCCCCATTGCTCTGATGGATAACCACCCTGATAGGCACCATGTGCCGGTTCGTGGAGCATTGTATGACGCCCTGCATCATGCTCTGAAGCATTATTAATCTCATCGTCAACTGAATCAAATCATGTCTGGGCTTTATTGCCCAATTGATTCGGTCCTATGTAAGTCACCGTATATGTCACAATGCTCCTGATTTTGTGATTCAGATCTGTCAAAACATCAGCAGAATTTTCAGTTGTTGCATCTGGAACAGGTAACTTGATACTAGAGAGAAAGAGAATTTGCCATCGATGTTTCTGTCTGAAACTCTTGATGCCCATCAAGATTTGAGAAAATAAGCTGACTGGTGTATGATGACAGAAACCTCAAATTTCCACCGTTACTATCCAGTATGAAAAGCATGTCTAACTCAAAATGATTATACCTTAAAATAATTCATAATCGCTTACCTTTAAGCGGGTCACCAGCTATCTCCGCTTTCTGTAATGTGTTTGTTAAAATATCCGCAGCATGATGAGTGGTATCCGAAATCTCACGGGTGAGATCATCAAATTCCCCCTCGAAAGTATGCATTGCTTTCGCGCCTTCATCCACCAAATGTGCCACATCTGCACCCACATTGCCAGCTTTCTGTGCTGTACTCGACAGCATTTTTGATGCAGTATCATTGGCAGTCTCCAGCGTTTGATGTCCCATATCTTTTGACTGTCCTGCCATTTCTTTCAGTTTGTCACCAAAGAGATGTACCGTATCATCAAGAGCTTCCCCCACTACCTTGGCATCACTCACAGCTTTATTTGACGCATCCACTACTTTCCCCACACCTATAATAGTCTAAAATGAAAAAAAAAAAAAATCCACCGTATTGTCCCTCTTTTAGTTGTGCTAATTGAAAATGAATAAAAAGGAAATCTGAAATTTTATTACGAATAGCTGCAGTGACTAATTCCACTCTTTAGCAACAAATAAAGATATAAAGCAAAATAAAAGATATATGATGCTCGTTTATCCTGGAATAAGTCTTCCAGCAGCTGCTCTGCAAACGGAGAACTCCACAAATTCCTTATATCCAAATATCCACAACTATTTATGGGCAAGATTCTCAGGAGAATGGCTACACCCTTAGAATTCAATATCAAGCAAATACTTTCAAAAGGAAGCCCTCGATAAAGTTCGTAGTACTCTTTTCGTTACTTCATTTAGGTGAAGGAAGAAAATTAGCTGACTCAACTCGAGTAGGCACTGTGAACGAAACATAAAAACTTAAATCAAGATCGATATTCGAAATAATAACAGTGACAGTCCGTGATGAGTCAATTTACTTTTTCCCTCTGTCAAACCTTGATCTTTGATACATCCTGCATAAATATACCTGATTTCGCATATTCTTAAAACATTTGATTTGAAACAACCATTTTTCCTATTTTTTATCTTCATAGTAATTTATTTACTTATTGTGCAGCAATTTATGATGCAATAGTAAAACATAAAAATAAATGAAATAAAAAAATTTATGCGTCTGTTTTTATTCCACAGTGCACTCTACAGAAGTCTCAACAGTAATGACATTTATGCAAAGCTCTGGAATCACTCATTCGATGCGAAGAGGAAAGTTTTTATTTGCACTATGCACTTACCAAGTGCTGGGACAATTTTGCAACTCTAATCGTACGAGGAAAAATCCCATGAAACGAGCAACGGATGCAAATTTTGCAGAAACACACTCACCTGTTTTTGCTATATCGCTCATTTTTTCAACCACACTTTCTGCAAATTCTTCAGTTCTAGGCAAAATCCCGCTGTATGGCTCCTCTGATTCAAATCCGTGATCCATTAGGTTTTCCTTAAATAGCATTATTAGCCACTTGGAAAGACAGAATAAGACCTCACACGCAAATGTATATCAATTCGAAAATTAAATTTGATAAATTTCAATCTACAAACCGAAGCATGACACACATAATTTGCAATCATAGGTTACTATGAAACAGTCTTAGTAATCTTGGTCCAAAAGTAATAACAACGTAGAAGATATCCTTTGTTTGCCTCAGCTTTGGTATTTGCTGTTCTTCTTGATAGACTATCACTTAAATAATTCGTTAGACCATCAGTTCAAATCAAACTTGGGTTAGCGGCACCCCTTGGTTGAACGTGTAAAAACCTTCCAAAATACGAAATATCCAAAACTTGACTGACTAACTGCTTGTGCATATAACCAGCATTGACAAGCTGACAAAAAATACTGCGCATGTTGCGCACAATCAATGACTAGCAGCTTATGCTTTCAGTCCCTGCTTCCGTTCTCCTTCACAAAAAATGCCAATCAAGTTGTCATATGAAGTGCACAACAGGATACACAAGAACAATATCAATAACACATCTAAGGACATCACCTGGATAACATATACATGCATAGAATAGAATGAGAAATGATAAAACGACAATTACATGTGGGAAGGACCGGAAAGAGAATACTGATGAAAGGAAATGCACAATGAGTCAGTCATTAAAGAATCTAGAAAAAGGAATAGCTAGAGAGAGCGCTGTCAACTTGTCACAATCGATACACAATATATACCAATGATCTCCCCGTAGTATCATCATATTAGGTAATACAACCAAGAAATAATTTTGCCAGAAACTATTTGTTGAGAAGAGGAATAAGTGAAATGACGAGATAAGGACGAAGAGGAAATACGTAGGTAATTCTAGGAACATAAGATGGACTGGTTTCTACCAGCAGAAAAAGCTCGTCATCATTCGCCTATAATTTCTTCTCTATACTTCCCATTCCACCCTAACAAACACCAATATATATGCTCGGCAAAGCACTGTGTGGGAGGATTATAGAGAAAGAGCTGCATGAGGGATGCTCTCAGCCACTCCGCTCCCATAACTTTATTACTTCAGGAAAACAAAGTGCATAAGAGTTTGCAGGCTCCTCCATTGTTGCATTAAAGGGTGAATTTTTCCATCAATATCAGTAACGAGACAATACATCGCATAAAGATACCTTCCAACTAACTATAATTTGCTTAGTGAAATAAAAGGTAAAAAGCAAGGCTGGAAGACTTATTTTTGACTTCTAAGAAACCTAAAGGATATCGATAAATTTACAAACTCCCGAAGATTTGGGAAGAAATGGGTAAGAAACTCGACATTATGAGGCAATTCAGCATCTTAAGGATTTAGAGACTTAAATCCTACGTTAATATGTAAGACAACGTAAACAATCTAACACGTTGTCCATAAGTTCTGAAGGGACCTGAATCATTTAGAATTTTGGAATATACCAACTATGCAATTTAAATCCAAAAATGTTGTATCAATTAAAGGGGTATTGAGTATGAATGTGACCGTAAAATTTACAGATTAAGAATGATAGCAAAAAAATGCTGAATCTAAAGGTGTGAGAGCATCCAGATACCACCATCTGACATTTTTGAAGATCTCTAAATACTTTTCTTAATTTCTGATAAATGCCAAAACAAGAAATGTAGAAAGTTAAGAAGAAACATAATATCGGAGGCCTCCATCGTTTTCTATTAGTAGTCAACACATATTCATAGAAATGGTACAGGAATGGGAGGAAATCAAACAGCCAATTCGGTAGGTGGATAGGATGAAGCACAAAATGGACGCCCTACAAAGAATAAACTAGTGTAATCCTTTTATTCACTAAAGAACAAATAAAAATACGACTGCCAGTTTACTAATCTCGAGCATTCACGATAGCACCAAACCATACACTTCAAATACGTTATTCGTCAACAAATAACCTTCTTGAATAGCAGACATTCTGTTATAAATCCAAACTGATGTATAATTATTTAACATTAGAAGATCAGCTTTTTTTCTCCTTATGATGCTCTGTCTGTCCTCATAGGATCGGATATGACGTGCAGATATCGCTATCGGAAAGCAGAATGCTCAAAACAATCGTTAATGTATTCAAATTTTCACTTCTACTTCCTTTAACGAAGAGTAAAACCCGAAAAGGACTTAAAAGTTTGACAAAGAGAAGAAAGTAAACTGAAAAAACTAGAATTCAAAATAACCATTACGCTGCAGATGCTAAAAGAGTGAAGAAGTTATTTCATTTCAAGAAGTTCATAGATGTAAGCAATAACTGACAACTCACAACAGGATATCTTCGATCTCTTGTCTTCTTTTCATCAGCGCCAACATTATGCATTTGTAACATTCTGAATGACAACGTGTCACCAACTAATCCAATACTAAAAGATGCAAACTTGACAAAAATAATGATAGGCACTAAAAATATATAAAATAAACAATTAATATCTCTGCAATAATTTCTGTTAAAGAAGGCTGAAATTCTACAAGGAACCAGCGATATCTGTAAAAAAGAAAAGAAAATAGGAAAAAAGAAAGATCACTGAGTTGGTTTCCGATACGAAAATTTGCATTAATGGATGAGATAGTCCGAGAGAATACGTCTCGGATAATTGTGACTGGTGTAGATCATATCTCAGAAACATGAGAGTAATAAAAAACTGTAACAGATATTGCTGACTCATTATTTACTTATCTCCAGTGCTAAAACGTGTGGAATCCTAAATCCTGTCCCATTTTTATTCTTAATATTTTAAAATTGATTGTATCGTTCATCCTTATTTAAATACCATCAAACATAACACGTACTAATATTCTTTGCAAAATGAAGGAAAATCAAAAACAATCATTGCAGAAACAAACCAGAAAGCCTTTTTTTATGGCTTTTAATATACTGTTAACCTTCAAACTACCAGTTATTATATTTTCCTTGCTTTTACTCCCAATCTGCTAACTGCATAGCTAAAAATGATTACCTCTGCTGCACATCGCTGTGTTCTACCTTCACGAATTCACTGCTTCCGTCAGAGGAGCCTGAAGGACTAGCAATTACGTCATACGTGTCTTCACCGCCAACTGTTTGTGTTGTCAGTTGTTTGGCTGTAATGAGTACCGCCGATTCAGCTGGTAGGCCACTGACAACAGGTTCGAAACCCCAACTCCATTTCCTATAACGTTTTCAGT